ATATATATTTTTATTTTTTTTTTCTTAACCTCAGTTAATTAAACAACTAATTTTCCAAACTTTAGTAAAGCATACATTCCATTAAACTCGAACATATGCTAGGCACAATCTTGACCTAATCTAGCTCAATTGGCTTAATTAGGCCCGCATTAAATCAAATTGATCTAGTGGGATCCACCTACATTCTAGCTCCTCGTATATAACACATAGTAGTGTTAGAAACCTATCATGAGCCAACCTAAGCTTATAGGTTAGGATTAAGGTAGTTTAAATTCATAAGCTTTATAATACTAGTGAAACTTAATACATACAAAATTCAGTTATTGGATAACCTCACCAACGATATCATGACCTTTTTAGACATCTAAAGTAAACCTAAAAATAACCAAATGAAAAATAAGGACATTTAACCCTAAATATTTTTGCACTTCATCCCTTGTTTGTTACTAATTAGGACTCATCTATTTAGCATATGTTGATGTCAGATGCTGGCAACACGACTCAAGGACCAATAATTACCATATTTGATCAAAAGAACCTAAGAATGTGACACTTCACAAAGTTGGATTATTCGATTACTGGTTTCTAAGCATCATATTAAAGAACATGCATGTCCTCTTAATCAATATCATCAATTGTCAACCCTGTTCTCCTAGCTTATCCCTTGGTTTGAGTGATGGCCACAACTAGGAGATGATGCCCATTTTGATATGCGCAAAACAACTACGAGCCAACATATTTATAATGCCACAATCGTTGGATTTTGAGCTACTATGCATCAATTTGAAAGCATATTACCCACAAGCTTTACACAATATTACTTATTTAGTTGCTAAATACCTATATATTGTATATTACTTCTAATTCATGTTGTTTTATGTTAGGGTAAATTTAAATTTTGGCTTGATGAATATTCTAAACCATTATAAATTGGGAAAATAAGAGGATTGAGAGGTTATAGTTACCTTTCTGGCTAGCTTGATGGAATTTTTTCTCTTGATAATGCAAGCATGTTTATACCCCCAAAACACTTAAGTTATTATTCTATTATACTTATGTTTTAAGTTCATATTACTCATTGTTAGTCAATTTCAAAAGATTTTAAGCTTTTAATTAGCATAATAAGTCAATTTAATTCCTTTGTTTTCTACTTTTTAATAAATTATCGAGATATTTGTAGGACCATTCTAGTCATTCTTAGTCCTGTTCCTTTTCATTTTTCACATCATTTGGTTCTTTTATTAAGGAATATTTTTATTAGCTAAAAAAGCTTGATGGAATACTCCTCTGTCCTTGATGAGACTTGTTACCACCTTCTACTTTTGCACTTATTATTGAAAATGTCAATTCTTTCCTATCAAAATGTGTTGCTCCCATTCTAATTTAGTTCTAGAAGCTACTTAGAAAAATAGATGTTTTATTTTGGTTGGTTCTATGATCAACTACACCTGTGGTTATTGTTGTTGTCCTTGAATTGCTAGCACCATGATATTAAAATAATAATCCTTAGGCGATATCATTCCAACTAAAGTTAGGCAACTAGTTTCCATTGGCATGAGCTCCCATGTTGTGATTTTTAAGGAAAGCATCTCATATAAGGGCCATATAGTCACCATTTGGCCATAGAGTATGAGTCTCATAATCCAATTTTATCAGAAGTTTTGAAATAAATCTCTCAAATTGAATTAAAGATTGCATCATTTATTGCTTTAAGGGCCTCAAGGCAACATCACCTCCTTCGATGAACTACACTACTACTTTTTTGATGAATTTGTCATTTATGGGAGGCTTTTGATATATGAATTTCCACATCTCTTTAAAAATCTAATAGAGAAAATAGAAGTCTCTAAGGCATCATACTATACCAAAGCTTATTTGGAGGTTATTTTGAGCCATACATTATGAAGATAGCTTCCACCTTGTCCCTCCACAACTTGCTCTTCAAGCACTTTAATATATTTTTCTCTCCAAGCATTTTCACACAGAAGAATTGAGCAATCATTAAGAAATGGACATAATAAGTATTCAAAATATGTGGATGTGGACCAAGAATTTTCCAAAAAAAAATAAATATTATTAAAAAATAGATAAAACTAAACCTTTTTTATTCACCACAAAGTGATAATTATATTATAATGCTTAATTATCTCTTAATTTAAAATAAAATATAAACATCTCTTAATTTAAAATAAAAAACCTTCAAAATTATTCTTGTATAAACTCATGATTCACGGCCCACAGCAATAACAAAAAATAACCGCTGTATTCACCGGAAATGCCCCCATAGCGAAGAATCCAAAAGCCCAGTGAAGAATCCGACTTCAAAAATAAATGATCCTCCCTCCCTCTCAAATCATGGAGGACCTCTCTATCTACTTCATCTGAAGGAGGGACAACTCCTCTGCTGGAAACTCCATGACGTTGCCCTAAGTGCCCCACTTTTCCTCTCCTCTTCAACAAATGACCCCATCCCCATCTCGGAAACCCCCTTCCGGTGGCAAAGACGACGACGAAACCGCCTCTACATCGCTCTCCGGCCGTGCGGCGATGAGGATAATTGTACCCTTACAAGGCATTGCACATGGCCGCAGCGGCCTAGTGCTCGGCTCGGTCATCCCATGTGCTTTGTTCTACCTCTTTCAGCTCTATTTTCGGCGTAAAAAATCCTCTTCTTCCCCGTCTCCGTCCCCGTCTCCCTCCTCCGGCGACCTTTATGCGCTCCCTGGAATCTCAAGAACTCCGTCTCGCAGTCTTATTTCGCCTCGCACTAGCTCAGTACATGCCCCGTTATCTTCTCGCGCTGCGGTTGTCAACAAGTCGGGTGCTTGTCGCCTTGCCGCCGGCCTTCGGCGGTGTCTTGACGATCCCTATCATCCGACCTCAAATCCTGATGGTGTCATTCAACTTGGCTTGGTTGAAAACCAGGTAGTGTATTTGGCTAGCATTTTTATTCCCTTAGTCTTATAGGATTTTGGGGTTTAGTGGGCGTTCAGGGTTTACTCTTTGTTTAGGGCAGCTGTCTGTGGACCTTGCACGGGACTGGCTGGAGAGGAATGTAAAGGCATTTTTGCTAGAAGAAGCAAGGAGTGATCTGGGCTTAGGCGGTATGGAAACTTCATTGCAGTATGATGGTTTGTTGGATTTGAAGATTGTAAGTGGGCTGTTAACTCTAGTTTTTGCGTTGCCTTGGATTGTTTTATTTGATAAATGCCTTTGTTGCTTGTGTTTTCTTAAACCTAGTAATGGGTATGCTCACTGTACACTTGTGGTGGATTTGATGTGTTTTTTTTATCGACTTGTGGACCAGCACGGTGAAAAAGCCTTTATTCATTCAGTGGTCATGTATGATTTGAATCAGGATCATTAAATAAAATGAATTTATTTTTCCTTGAGTGAAGGTTGCTTTTTAATATCCGAGATTCCCTATGGAGTAATTTCTATATGTATTAGTGCTTTTCATTGTTAAATTGAACGATGGAAACAGAAGGATAAAAGTGCATTTTAAAATGTGGAAGAAAGATTTATTTTGCAGAATGAATGGTTGTTTGGCATCATATATAAATGATATAATTTAATTGTAGCTACAATAGTCCTAATCTATGTATGTATTGGAGAAGTGCATTAATTTTTTTTCTTCCATTTATGAGGGGAGTAGTGTTTTTTTAGCTTCCTAATTAAAAATCAGGTGTAAAACTGTTTAAATTTTATTTCTTCTGTGAAACATGTTTAACATCCGCATGCAATCCTTTCATTTTAGCTAAGGCCTTTCATCATTAATTGCTCTCAATCTAGCAATTATGCCCCCTATATTTTTTTTTTTGAGAAATTTACATACATTCCACACAATTCTTATGTTTTGATATATTTAACATCTAAAGTTTGATATTTACATTTGTAACACTTTTGTATTAAAAATTTATGCACGAAAATGTGTATTTCACTTTTAAAAAGTTAGTAATAGTGATATTTTTGATTTGATGCTCCGTTATGTGTTTGATATGTAAATATATAAGTATTGGGTCATATTTGTGCAAGTCCCTCATTTTCATAACTTTGTTTTATTGTTTTATATGAACTAAAGGAGTGTGTTGTTCAAAGTTGATTAATATGCAATGCTTCTATAATGATTGTTATTTATTTATTTTTCATCATTACTTCAGTATCTGTGCTAATTATTTTCTTAAACAAGCCAATAACGTCAGTACTAATTATTTTTTAAACAAGCCAATAACCTAAGCTCACATTTAACTATGTTTTTTAATTATTTTAGACACGCATGAGCTTTTACTTGATGGATTTAAGAAATGGAATCTTGTTTTTCTCTTCATATGTGCAAGCAAGGGCACCTAATATCTCGTATGCCCATGGCAATATTTGTGGAAAAAATTTAGGGACTATCGACATGTAGAATAAATCTTTTGAGGTTGGCATAATAGTCTTTTTGCAATCATATATCATTTGATGTAGCCTTGGGTGGGGGAGTTTCGAGACTTTTATTTGATGTGGTGACGGGCTAAGGATGTGTGGGATACTCTTGAGTGGTTATAATATTTTTATTTGAAATAATGGTTGAAAGGATGGGGTCTCTCAAGTGTTAGATCATGGCCAACTCTATAGCTTTCCCGGGTATTCTAATTTGGGGTTTCTTATGGTGGAGGATCCAAGGCATGGAATCATATAAGAATGTTGGGATATTATCTTTAAATGTGATATAGAGCATTTGATAAAATTTCAAATGGTTTAGAGGCTAAAGGATGGAGAAAAATCAAGACTAGGTCAGTGAGATATAGTTTGGATGGGACGAGCTTGAGGGTTTAAGTTGCTGAAAATGCTATGAAATATTAGGGAGTGTGTGGAGATGAAATTTAGAGTATGTGCTAGAGATTAAAGGTATTTTAGGGGTGGATGGAGGACCAAAATTAGGTCAATAGAACCCTAGTTGTCATTGATGGCTTAAGAGATGTTTGGGACTTTTGTATGGCTATAGATTATGTGAGATGCTTTAAATGATGCTAGAAAGATGGTAGAATACACTATGAAAGATTGATTGAGATTTTAGGAAATATAATAAAGTTATTTAGATCTTCAACCAAGAAGGACATTAGGGGCTGTTTGACAATTTTGGGATTAATTCAAGTGAATTTAGTAATTTTTTTAAAATCTAAATTTAGTAAATTTTGGGGTGGTTGAATTCAGAAATCTGAAAGATACTTGATAAATTCAGCTAATTCTAATGAAAATGTTTGATAACTTCTTTAAGAATTTAAGTTTGTCATTTCAATTGAATTTGATTTATATATTTTTAATTATATAAATGATTAATTAACAAATTTTTAAGTTGATTAAATATTAAGTAGAATATTTTAGATAATTATTTATTAATTATTATAATTCAATTATAATTTGTATAATATAATGTTTTTCAATCTAGCAACAATAAGAACAACAAGCTTTTATCCCACTAAGTGGGGTCAGCTACATGAATCCTTTTTCTCCATTATGTCCTCTTGAGTGTCAAATTTTCATTTAATTCTAATAGTTTAAGATCATTTTTTATACATTATACCAAAATCTTTTTAGGTATTCCTTTGCCTTTCTTAACATAAGTCAAATTTAGAACATCTACTCTCCTAACCGTATCATCAGATAGTCAATGTTTAATATGATCAAACCATCTATTACGACTCTCTCCAACCTTGTATGCCACTGGAGCACAGATAGATTCATTTCACATTTTGTCTCAAGTGTCAAACCACTCATCCATCTGAGCATTTAACTTTGCTTCATGCTTCTTTTTTAAAGGCCAATATTCTGCGCCATAAAGCATGGCAGGTCTCACCACCATTTTATAAAATTTTCATTGAAGCATAAGCAGTACTTTTCTATCACACAATAGATCCGATGCATTCTTCTACTTCAACCAAACAATTTGAATTCTATTAATAACTCCCCATTTATATCGCCATCACTTTGAACAATATACCCGAGATATCTAAAATATTAACACCTTGTAATGATTTGATCACCCATAATTACAATTTTGCCACTAGAGCTACTAATACTAAAATTATATTCTATGTATTCAGTTTTAGATCTATTAACATGAAGGCTTTTAGACTCCAATGTAGACCTCTATAATTCAAGTTTTCCTGAAATCTTTCTTTAGTCTCATCCACAAGAAGGATATCATCAACATAAAGCATAGTCTAAGGTACATTCTCCTACAAATGTCCAGAGCATCCATAACTAAAACAATAAGATATGGGCTTAAAGTCGAATCCTAATGTAATCCAACTAAAATAGAAAAATACTTGGTCAATCCTCCTTATCCAACGTAAGTAACAATTTTAGTATACATATCTTTAATGACTTGAAATTTATTGATTTTAATATATTTATAAAACATTAATTAAAAATTTGAAATATAAGAAATTCATATTAAATTATTAACAGTGTTAATTAATTTAGTTAATAATGTTTTTCTACGTTAATTTTAATGTATTTCTAAATCATTATTTTTTGAATTATAAATTAATTTGGAATAATTTTTTTGTTTAATTAAATTAGATTATAAATAATTTTTTTAATTAAAGTCATATTTCTATAATTAATATTTATTTTAATTTACAGAAATAAGCTAATATCCCATGCTTTCTTGCTCCCGATCCCGAACCAAGGCACACTTCCTCAACCCCAATGTCGGCCCTCTCTATGTCAAACACAATTGTAACTCTTCTCGGGGCAACCCTTGGCTTTGTCTTCATCCCTAATGCCTACCTCTATGTCAAACACAATTGTCACTCTTCTCGGAGCACACTGCCTTTATACTTAGCTTGATATTCTACATCAGCTCTCTAGACCAATTAGAACTTTGCTCTCTAGAGTTAATGTTCAGGTAATCTTTAGTAAGACTTGTTGAGTTCTTTCTAGTGACCCATGATATTCTTCAATTGATAATTTGTCCTTCCATCTAGTTAAAAATTAGTGATTATTTGCCTTCTACTTGGTACCTTCTCTGTAACAATGGAGTCCACGTCTAAGAAGTAGGTTGGTGAGAGTACCTATAATTGGCAAGATGAATCTCTTTTGAAAGAGTTATTTTAAATGGGGCATATGCCCCAATTTTCATTTTTTATATTTTAATTATGTGTCTCTTGGAGGCAATGCATAGAAGAATTATTGAGATATATTTTCTTAAAATGTTTTGAATTGCTTTTAGCTATTTTTTTTCTCATATTAATTTGAAGAGTTTGAAAATACCTAACTAATGTAAAGACAATAATAGACAATAAGTTTGGGGATGATAGCTACATCAATGGATCTTTGGATCAATAGCACAATCATCTCCCTCATAATAGGGGACCTTATCACCGTTAATTAATGCTTATTATTTTTTTTATTGGAATTTGATTTTGTAATAGGAATTTGATTATTAATAGCAATTATAGGGGTCTTTTTTATGAGCTTGACATTAAATGTTTAATAGTTCGATTATTATGTTTGAAAATATAGGTCTTTTTGTTATAATGGATAATACTCGTAATATACGGCCAGGGTTGACTTAAAAGGATATGTGCTATGTTTTTAAGCAGGATATCACACCAAATTCTAACATCATAGGTACCCATCTCAAGGGGAACTAATTACTTGTTAGAGATAGGCAGGATGGTTCACATAGAAGGGCTCGAGGCTTCGTTGAGTTTTGAGAGTAGCTCTTGCCGATGCATGGGTTTGTATAACATTCACATCACCCCCATAATTAATGACAAGTTTCCACTTTTTTACACTATACAATACATGCATGAAAATATATTCTACCTATAATTCTTTTGTCTCACTCTAACAAATTGTTGAGCACCTACGTATCCTTAACAAGTGCTTAACATAGTGTATTGGGGGTTGGAAAAGATATGGAACATTAGGCGAGAATATGTGTTGTTCAAATATGGAGAAGATAATAGAGAGTCAAGGTGTTCTAGGGGATGGAGGGGGGATGATTGGATCAAGTTCTAGAGAACCCCAATTATGGCGAACAAATTTTGAGATTTTTCAGAATTTTAATTTTGTAGGTTGTGGGAAAATGTTTTCGGATGATGTTGGTAAGATTGAAGAATATGCTAGGGCCTTCCATCATCCACCAACATCTAAACCCTAGAGATTTCACTATCTAATTTTTACGAAAATGTTAAAATTTTTTTCATTTATTTTAAATAATATTTAAACTATCACACCGGTTCTATAACTCAAAATTCAAGGAATAATTAAAAATTTAAAAAAAAAGATAAAAGAAAGAAAAAAAGAGAGGTAAAGATCCAATCTAAAGAAGCAAATAAGTGGAGTTGAACTTACTTCAGTTCCACTCCATAATTATCTCTGTATATGGGGTGATCAGTTCTATAGATTCCTAATCAAACCTAAATCTAATTTAAACAAATGGAAAGTAACTCTAGGTTATTTCATATTAAAATTATAAACTTATAATTCAATGCATAAAATTTTTTTTAATAAAATTTTGAGTTCAAAACTTAATTTTTATTTTAATTTTTTGAATTCCTAATAAGGCTCTTTACTAACTTCTACTTGTGAATGATACCTTTGGTCTTGATCCCATGTTAAGCACTTGATGTTGTTCTTGTAGTGAGTCCTTTTCAATTAGCTTGATGATCTGCCTCATCATGATACCTTTTGGGATGGTTCTGGCAAGCTCAGCTGAAATTTAAACAGAACTAACCTGACCAGTTGTTTATCTATCTCTAAAGATTACAGCCAGAGGCTGCCTTGGGAACTTTACTGTTGAAAGAGCCTTAGCATGTCTGACCATTGTCACTTTCAAAACATTGTAATTTGCTGACTAGTTCTATTTTCTACAAGTGGAATTATGTAAATTTAGGATTATGGACACCAAATTGGATTCTATTGTAAGGATCCCTAGGTTCTTTGTTAAGTTGTCTGAACTGTAACCTAAAAGACAACATAAATTATAAGGGATTTTTTGAACTATATTAGATAAGATTATGTTTACATATGTTTTGTAGAGCAATATAATACTAGTGACATTTCTATTTTTTTGCTCATCTTTTCATGTCTTTCTCATTTACAGCCTATATCATAGCTTATTGCTGTTAATTTTAAATTTTGTTCAAAATTTTATCATAATATTTGCAGGTTGGAACTGTGTTCCCACTTGTTCTCATGCACATAAAACATGTCATTGGCATTGCTTCATGTTTGGATTGGTTATTTTGCCTGACCTCATAGTGCTAGCAAGGATAGTCTTACTTCTTTTTAAAATAATCAAAATTCTTTCATATATTGGGTTCTGAGAATTGTTTTGCACATAACCTTGCATTCTGTATTCTTTTTAGTATCCTTTTCGTTTTTGTTGACAGGCTGTAGCTGGTTTCATGCGACAAGTTCTGCAAGGGTCTGTTTCATTTAGTCCATCACAGATGATATTAACATCTGGTGCCGCCTCTGCAATGGAGACCCTCTGTTTCTGTTTGGCAGACCCAGGAAATGCAATTCTTGTTCCTTCCCCATACGACCCTGTGTAATATTTCTAATTTATGTTTCATTTTTTCTCTCCTTTTATCCATTGTTTTTGGCTTACTTACCCTGCTTAGGACTTATCTATTTCAAATTGTAACTTGGAACACCAATACATAATTATTAAAAAACTGCAGCTGGACTTGGTACTTGAATGAGGGTTGATGTGGGATGAAATAAGCCAGTTGTGTACCTGTATCCCATGCAAGTAGATTTTGTGGTAGATTAAGGAAGCGAAAATGATCGTTAAGAAAAATAAAATCAATATAATTAATATATGAAATAGCTGTAAAAAAGCTAGATTGTTTTGCAAAGACAGTAAGATTGACATTATATATATATATATATATATATATACACACACACACATACATGATGGTTGAGTTGAAGGCCTGAGGAGGTACGCTTGATGATTTTTATGTTGGCATTGTTAAATAATAGAAGAAAAGTGATATTTAAAATTGCAAATCAAAGATTAGAAAAATTTAAAGTTTTTTTTATCGAGCTAGATCATTTAGAATGGAGGCACTAGTTTCTTAATTAAAGTTAAATTCAAGGAAAAATGAAATTGCTTATTCTAAAATTCATGAAATTTTTTTTTCTAAATAGGATATACAAAAGCATGAAGTTATTATATAACAACATGATCTAAACTAGTTAAGTAGTTGCAGTTTTAAAGAAGATATACGAAAGTAATATTTTAGGTTCAGATGACATCAATTAATATTTTAATAAGTTATTGGAGATATTAGAATAGTTTGATTAGTAATTTTTTTATTAAATTTAATAGATTAAGAGCTTGCAAATAATTAAACATCGTATTCTTTAAAACTTAACACTTTAGAACAATAATAAGTTCCAATTTGTAATGATTTTATAGCTTATTGTGTCATTTGATAACATTTTCAGAGAGGGTAATGGAACATTGGGTTAATGAAATGTGTTACTATTAACTGATTATTTTGATTTTATGCCATGGGATCTATTATGGAGGCAATTCTTTTGTCAAGGCAGTTAATGAAAACATAGCGAGCAACGAGTGCATCTTGGTTGATTTTATTGATTATTAAATAATAAAATATGAATGGTCATCAATAAAATCCATTTTATGGTGATTAAGGATAATATATTTGTCATAGGCATGTTAAAATTTTGAAAAATAAATTTATGGAGTGGTGACTAGCATTAGAAGCAGTTTTGGGATACCAAAATGTTGCAAATCATGATAAAATTACTTTTAAGGCCAATACGAAGTTCATATTTATTTTGTATTTGTTATTATAAATGTGATAGAATTAGGAATGGAAGGAAAGGGATAGATAAAAGTTCGTATCTGTAGAATTTTTGCCAAAAAATGTGCAAAATATTTCTTAACTCTGCATGTAGCAGTATTTAATGGAGTGAATGGGGGAGGATTTATAAAGCTGACCTCTAACAACTTGTGATGACGTTAACAATGATGATGATGAACGCCATTGCTTCTGGTGTCTCTATTCATGACAAAGCAGTTCAGTCTAGAATCAATCCATTCTGTCTCTTCCCAAAACCCTACAATGTGAGTAGTGGAATATAAAATTATGTATTTGGCATGCACAGTGAGGGTGGCAAAGGGACTAACAAAGAATTTGCATATAAGCATGCCGGAGATAAAAGTGAACATTTGTAAAAATTGCAAAATCAAGTTAGCTAGGCGTGTTACACCTAATACAATGAATGGAGGAGGATTTATAAAGCTGACCCAACAAGTTGGATCAGGTTAACATTGATGGTCATGAATGCCATCGCTTTTCGTGTTTGTATTTGTGACAAGCAGTTTTTGGAAGTAGATGAAACTCTCTTATTTCAAACCCATAAGCAATTCAGCCTCTATTCTTCCAAAACCCTGAAATGAGAGCAGTCAAATATAAAATTATGTATCTGGACATGCACGGTGAGGGGTAGCAAATGGAATAGCGAGGATATAATTATGAGTTAGAATTTGGAATGGAAGGGAGAGATAAATCTTGGCATTTGTAGAAATTTTACAAGAAGTTTTACAAAATAAAGTTAACTTTACATGTAGCACCCCCAGCGAGTTATTATCAGGCTAACAATGATGATGATAATGAACATCATTGCTTTTTGTGTCTGGCCACATGAAAAGTGGCAGTAGTTCTCATATTTGTGAAATCTCTGGTACCATAATTATCAATCTAACTACTTAGAATTAAGATAAAACTCTCCATCCATTTTCTTCCGAAATCCTTGCCATGAGAAAAGTTCTTATTTTTGTGAAATCTCTGGTGCAGTGTGAATGTTCGATCAAACTTTATTATTTTCTATTTAAATGAGTTGTACCCCTGCATAAAAAGTGCACTGTTTTTTGAGTCTTTTGTTATAAGTTTCTTATTCTGATATTGTATCTTCCATTCAGTTTTGATTACCTTGAACATCTATATCTACAGATATGACAGGAATCTTAAATGGAGAACTGGTGTGGATTTGATCCCGGTTCCTTGTCGCAGCACTGATAACTTCAACATAAGCATTGCTGCTCTTGAAAGAGCTTATAATCAAGCAAAGAAACGTGGGATTAAGGTCCGTGCTATCCTCATCACAAATCCTTTAAATCCTGCAGGAAATATATTAAGAAGGGATGTACTCTACAACTTGCTACAATTCACTACTGACAAAGATATCCATTTGATTTCTGATGAACTGTTTGTTGGATCAGTCCATGGAGACAAAACTCTCATAAGTGTTGCAGAGATTCTAGATACAGTAGATTTTGACAAGTCCAGGGTTCATATACTATATAGGCTTTCTGAAGATCTCTCCCTTCCAGGTTTTCATGTAGGAGTCATTTACTCCTTAAATGAAAATGTCTTGGCTGCTGCTGCAAAGTTTGCAAGATATTCTTCCATCTCCCTGCTTGATCAACGTGTGCTTGTATGGATGCTATCAGATGTGCCGTTCATTTCAAAACTCCTTTGGCTAATTGGGACGAGAGTTAAGAATATGCATCATTTGTTTGTCCTAGGCCTGAAAGGTCTGTCTATTAACTGCGCTAATGGTACTGGGGGATTGAATTGTTGGGTGGATATGAGCAAATTCCTTAGGTCATACAGTGAGAAAGGGGAGCTTGAAATGTGGGAGAAGCTGCTGGATATAGCTAAGATTAATGTAACACCTGGATCATCCTGCCACTGCATTGAACCTGGATGGTTTTACTTTTGTTTTAAATCATTGTCTGAAACTGATGTTGATGTGGTTATTGAAAGGATTAGGAGAGTTATTGGAGGGCATAAAGGTCATCATTGATCGGATACTTGGTTGTCTCTGCATTCTGCCTGCAAACCCAATATTTGTTCATAACTTTGAATCTGTAAAACAGTTTGCGAGATTGTGAAGGCAGTTTAACTAAAATAATCAACATATTGAGCTTTGGTTGCTGTTAACTTATGAGCATTAGCTAAAGTATCTACTGATGGTTTTTGTGCCATATATGTGAAACTTATTGATGGATATGCACCGCACATGTCAGCAAGCATTTCTGAGTCAGAATAAATAATTTCTGAAACCATTTGTTCAGAACTTCGATGCAAGATGATGATTAAACCGCTCTCTTTCTTTTGGTACAACGGGGGATTGTGCAAGGCCATTCTTACTGACGGATTAGGCATGCTTTATTTGAATAAATTTATGCTTGGGCTAAGGCAATGGGACGTAAGGGATTCATAAAGGTTTGCTAGTATTGTAGAAGCAGCAATGTTTTCGATACGTATAGTCTCGAACTGTAATTTTATTTGCGATGATGAAGCAGCTTTCTTCCTGTTGGAGAGTGTTTTTTTCTTATTATTTCTCTAATCTAAGAGTGGTGCTAACTGTGCTGTGACAACTGTAACTAAAATGAGTTATAGTAGTGGGACGGTAAAGCTGTAGTTTGAACACCGCAGTAGTCTTTTATCAACAATTTTGATCTGTAAACTTTTCCAGTTTTTGTTTTTATTACAAAGTTCTTGTATATTTACATATTGACACCTACAAATTGATATTCATGTTTACAACAATTTGGTATTAAAAACCTAAGCATGAAAATATGTATTTGTTTTTTGTTAAAAATTAATGATAGTGGTATCTGATGCTGAATTTCAAAATGATAATGTAATGGTTGATTGAGCACAGAGAAAATCACAGCTTTAATCTGAATTGGTTGTAAGTTAGGAGCTCCTTATTGTAAGACTTCTTAAGGACTTCTTTTTTTTCGATGCTAATAGGTGGATCAATGAGTTAAATACAAACTCTTTTTGTTTCTGATCTACTTTTTTAGACATCTTCGAGTTGCTTGAGATCTTGAACTCTATAAACACTTTCCAATTGTTATAGAGCTATAACAGAAGAATGATTGTTGACGAAGTGAAAAATAGAACGAGAAAATTCATACCAGAAAACAGTAACACAGTGGAACACAGATTTACATGGTTCGGTAAATTGCCTATGTCTACGGTGTTGCAGGGATTTTGCTACTTGAGGAATTTACACCAGTTGATTGTCTCGACTTACAAGAGGGATCTCTCACTTCGTTGCTCTCTCTTCTTCTCTTCTTCTCTCTCTGTCTTCTTCTCTCTCTGCATCGAGATACACCGAAAAAGATAAACTTACAAGAGAAATAAACTCATTTTCTCTTCTGTCACAAGCTAGCGAGAAGAAGCCAAAGGAGAACAATCTTCTTTTTCTTCTTCTTTCTTCTTCCCACAGCTGCAAGAAACTACTGCTTGCACTTTTCCTCTGTCCCGAGGAAGCCCAAAGAAGAACACAAAAATGGCCATGTTATGAACTGAAGAAGAGCCGCTGCGATGCCTTTTATCACGAAGAGGAGGTAGAAATGACTAGGGAGTGGCGGAAGGCCCGAATGGTAGGCGAGACGTTCGCGACGATTCACAAACGACAGATCGCGAGAACAGTTCGTGACTTCCTGCGATCAGGAACAGGGAGCGGTTTGCGGGTTCGGGCTCCATCTAACAAATCTCCCACTTGTAGACTGATACACAGGTTGCAACATCTCCTTCCTCAAACTGATATCCTCTATTAGCAGTGTCGCCTTCTTCAAACATAAATCCTCCACCTCAACAACTCAAAACTCACGTCTTCACACCAGAAGACCAACTGAAGTTGTGCACAACTTTAGTTTCTCAAGAGTAACACCCTCAATCAACATATCAGCAGGGTCAACATAACTTTGCACCTCCAAACTGTTTCCTAGGTTACTCTTATCTCTGCTTACATCTCCCACTGTATGGACAATATCCTGCCTCCGCTAAAAGCATTTTTCAACAATTCTAGCCTTGTAAATTTTACTGCCATCAAGCTCAAACTTCACCCGGTACACCCACTTTTTGTGTAATGCATTCTTTCCTGGTGGAAGTTCTGCCAGCTCCCACTTGCTCGAACTTTCATCTTGCAAGATTTCTTCATAGCTCTTTGGTTCTCCACCATCTGTCTGTGGAACAATAAGAGTGGGTGCCTCGACCCACTCTCCTCTTCACTTCCATCACTGCCCTGCACTGTGGCCTCTGGTAGATCAATTCCTACCACATTCAAAGCTTCTCCATCTGCCATATATACTTTTCCAAAGTCACTTGCAACATAATTTCACATTAATTTATGATGGAATGTTGTATGGAAAGAAGCCCCTGATCCAATATATAGTTATCAACAGAACTATGAACTGCTAGCAATAGTGCATCATGTACTTCTTTAGATACCACATTTGTGCTATCATTCTCCATCTTCTTGGGATTCATGTAGTTCCTCTTTATGTGACCAGCCTTGCAACAATTCCAGCAGGTTGCCTGCTGACCAGATTTTGATTTTGATCTCCCTCTATTTGCGTTCATGTCCTGTGATCTCCCACTGAAATCAACATTTAGTGTCTAACTCGAACCTGAAATTTTGCCAGAATCTTTTCTGCATACCTCCTCAGCCAAAATTTAATCACAAATATCATCACATTTCAATTTAGATTTACCTAACTGTCATGTTCATGGCTTCCCAACTATTTGACAATAATGCCAACAATATCAACGTAAGTATCTCATCATCAAATTCAATTTCAACAGACGAAAAATGATTTGTGATATTATTGAAATCATTTAGGTGTTGAGCAACAGAAGTACCTTCCGCCATCTTCAAATTGAATAACTTCATCAAGTACATCTTGTTATTTGCTGATGAGTTTTCATACATACCTGATAAGGCTATCATGAGATTTGCAGTCGTCCTTTCTTTGACGACGTTGTGTGCAGCGGACCTCGATAGGGTCAATCGAATAACCCCCAGAACTTGTCGATCCAACAAATTCCATTTAGCCTCATCCATCCTTTCAAGTCTTTTCCCCAATAACGGAAGATGAAGTTTCATCCCATAGAGGTAGTCTTCTATCAACATCCTCCAATAACCAAAATCAGTGCCATCAAATTTCTCAATCCCTGATACCTTTACTTCATCTGCAATCATCATTCTTCCTCAGATCCGAAAAAAACTCTGATACCAGTTGTTGTGGTATATACACATAATAGAAGAACGATTGTTGACGAAACAAAAAATATAACGATAAAATTCACACTAGAAAATAGTAACACAGCAGAACACACAGATTTACGTGGTTCGACAAATTGCCTACGTCCACGGAGTTGCAGAGGATTTTACTACTTGGGAATTTACACCAGTTGATCGTCTCAATTTACAAGAGGGATCTCTCACTTTGTTGCTCTCTTCTTCTCTCTCTACACTATGATACACCTAAGAAGATAAAATTACAAGAGAAATAAACTCAATTTCTCTTCTGCCACAAGCCACTAAGAAGAAGCCAAGGGAAGCCAAGGGAGAACAATCTTTCTTTTTCTTCTTCCTTCTGCTGCAAGGAACTACTGTTTGCACTTCTCTTTCTATGTCTCGAGGAAGCCCAAAGAAGAACACAAAAAAGGGTCGTGCTATGAACTGAAGGAGAGCCGGTACGATGCATTTTATCACAAAGAGGAGGCAGGAACGACTAGAGAGTGGCGGGAGACGTGAACGGTAGGCGGGAAGTTCGCGACAATTAGCGAACGACAGATCACGGGAACAGTTCGCGCGAAAGGTTGCGACTTCCCGCGATTGGGAATATGGAGTGGTTTGCGGGTTCGGGCTCCAGCTAACAAAGCATTGAACCATCGTTGAGGGAAGAAATGGAAATGGCAAGAACGAAAATAGTCTATAGCAAAAGAACTTAAGCCTCACAAGAGCAAGTAAATTCAAAAGACTAACCACATCATGGGGTTAAAAACATAAGATTAATTTTGAATTATGCATCATATTTATATTAAGCAATTAAAGTCATCAAATTAACAGAAAATTTTAAATCCTCCATTCCTTCAAGAAATTTTTTCATCATTACAAATGATTCGTCTAACTTAGAAGAGACAAACATAATAACTCACACAAAAGAAAAGAAAAATTGAAAATATAGGATTGATAAGGCCGCATAAATTCGACCAATCCGAATGAATCACTTTAATATGAATTCACCAATTGGGTCGAATTAGCAAACTCAACATTTATGTGGAACATGACAAGCTAATCAGTCAGGTTAATGACTTTGATCTTCAATTCAGTCATCTCCTTTCTTAGCTTGCTATGAGCTTCTTTCAATTCGGAAAACTCCTGTTTAAGCACGACCAATTATTGCAAAATTTCAAACTTATTAGATGCATTCATCTCATAGGAATTTGCATGCCCCCTTTTTGTTTTTCTTCCCATGAAGGGTGTTTTTTTTTATATTCAACCCCTTTTGAGATCTTCCTTCTCAAATTGCCTCTATTTCATAAGAAACAGAGCGAGATGAGGAAAGAAACAAAAAATGCATAACTATTAAGAAAATGAAACAAAAGGGCTAGATATGAAGATGTCTTGTAGAACAAACCTCAAAACATATGAAAAAGAAGAGAGGTCCAAAATAAATCAATGCATACTCAAATTGAACGAATTTGTGAGAAGAGCTTTATGATACAACTTCCACAACGACATATCCTTGTAGTCAATTAAATCTTGGGATACCCAATATGACTTGATAAAAGGTGTTATATATGCTTTCTGTAGACCTTAATAATCAATAAACATTGGAGATTTTTTTCATTCCAATAAGAGAAATCTTATGTTTCCAAGGCTAAACTAATATGTCAGGCAAATGGTGAATCATTATTACCTGATAGGTAGTCACCTCGCAATAAGAGTATGGAATGACTACAAAAGACCCAAAATGGAAAAGGGCATGGCCTAAATGTGGTGTTAACAGGTAGGCAAGTAATTTTTAAGGAAGTAGAGATAGCCCGAGCATAATTATATGGATCATTCACCCCAAAATATTGAAATGCTAGGTCTACTTGATCATAAATACAATCGACCTAACCCGACTAGGGACTCTTTGTCAGAAAAAAATGTCTTGCATCATACAAGGATGCCCAGTAGCCTAAAGTCAAATAAAAAATGTTTGGAATTTTATGACTCTAATTGGATTAAAAAGATAGAAATAAGACTTAAACCCCCAATGGGTACGCCGATGATGCCAGTAAAGTGGAACTGAATGAATGAATCGACTACAAAGCCAAATTATCTCATAGAGGACTTGTAATCTTGTTTGGGTCTTGAAAGTCTCTAACACACTAATTGCACTAAACAACCACATAAGCGTATAAATGATGCTGGGCCAAGCAACTATAAGAGTCAAGTACACTCCTCTATGGAACATGCAATATAAATGCAATTGTCTACCTCATCATAGAGGCCTTATTAGTATGAATTGGGTGATAGCTATACAATGCAAATCACTTTAAAACTAAGCCAAAGAGCCATACATGAAAGTAAAGTGCTTATTTTAAAATTGATTGATTTTAATCCTAAATTTTATTAAGAATAAATCTCTTAATATTGAAATATTATAGAAAGGATTTCATCTTGAGATTCTACATGTAATTGAGAGCCCGGACAAATCACACAAAA